TCAAGGTCAAGGGGTAAAAAAATCATAGACTAGTGTATTTAGATTTTAGAAAGGTCTTGTCACAGGTAATGCACCTGTGTAATACGAAAGACCTAAGGTGTAACTTTTCTCATTCAAAAGATATGTCCAAGGTTAAATTTTTTGTGACAGACGGACTAATGATATTTAATGTTCCCTCACTTTTGCGAAAGCAGGGGACAAAAAGTGCTATTGTACAAGCCCTTCGTGTAATAAAACAAGATTGATCTGTTAACCTGAGGCCAGGCATATTAATACTTGCAACAAAAGTTCGGAAATGGTATGTTCTTTGTGATGCATTTATCTATTTTCTTCTTGAGGAGGTATGTGACCTGAAGAAATATTAATAAACAGGCACCGAAAAAATCAGATATCTTCAGTAATTAATTTCTTAATGAAATTCCTGATTACATTTCACACCCTATTAATGCATTTCACATCTCTCGCTGCTCCTAGCTATACCAGAGGGGTGCTGTTTTTAATGTATTGGGTGCAAGCAAGCGACACTGCAATATCTGCTGTATTAGAAGTGGCATGTGTGAAACATAGAATTCTTATATTACATTTCAGAATTTTTTCTTTAACCCCTTGGTAGCTTTGCTCAGAGGGTTGTAATGTTAAACGTATCCGTGACACCTTCGTATCAGACGGGCGTCGCGGCGTAACTTCCGGCGATGTTCGAAAAGCGATGAAATCCAATTCAACTTTATGTAATCAAGACTTAAAATATTACAATTTGGTTTCCGATGTCTGACGTCGGCCCGCGTCCAACTAATGATTATTCCCGATGTTAGCAAAAGGAGCTGGGGGAACTTCGACCTGTAGCGCTCCTATCTAAAGTCCCCGAGTCGGTATATTTGCTTACTAAACAAGCCACAAGATTTTCTCGCTATTTTATCTACTATTGTCATTGATTTTATCATTACATAGGATTGAGTTCTATACCCGTGATCTGATCTCTCAGTCAATTGAATGTGATATCCGTTAGAAGTTAAAAGCCATGTGAATTGATCGCGTCTTCGGAGTATTTGGGTTTTGCGATAACGTCTTTTACATGTGAGCACTGGAGATTTATTAGATCTCTGGAAGAGTTTTAAAATATTGAACCTCTACCACGGGTATATATTTATATTAATATATTAGGATGGTTTAGCAGTATTGGCAAGGTTTCCTGCAGTGGGATGGACTTTTTTCCTCTTTTCTTTCGTCATTTGTTCATAGCATCTTTTTGTCATAGCATCATGTGCGGATTGGGATTTGTTACAGGAGAGAGTACACACCAACTCAAAAAAAAAAAAATCAGACTTGGAAAAAACGGAAAGCGAAAAAGTTTTCCACGTCTGAAAAGCTTTTGTGTGTTTATTTTCCTTAGTCAATTTCCTTCAAATGTACGACCTTTTACCATTTCTTTGAAAAATCTTTGTTTTCGGACGAGGGATCAAAATCCTCTTGTGGAAAGGGTTCCTGTATGAATACAATGTACCTGTTAGATAATATTTGAAACCAAAGCACAAGTAAAACAAAATTGAAAAGACCATTTATAAACTGCCTAGCCCCTCTAACCACAATGTACAATGTTATTTTGATAAAAATTACAAAGAAAGATGAAATTTTAAGTTCAAATATACAAATTTGCATTACATTGGATCATTTGCAGACCGAGTTATCTTCCCGGAAGTGATATATTACTTCAATATAATCTATATATAATAGCACCCTCGCTAACCAAGAGAGAAAAAATTACAACATATAACCTGTAAAAGATTATTTTAAAAATTAGACTCTGACTTTGAAATATAACATCCTGAGTGATCAACAAGGCAACAACTAACACCTTGTTTTTTTCTACCCTATATCGCTCCAGTCAGCTAACTTGTTCTTTTCTATTGTAATCTAATGTACACATTCATCCTTTTTTCCCTCCTATTTTGATTTGTATTTTCCCCCCTATTTTCCTTTTGTGATGTTTATATGATTTGATGTGTTCATATTCATGCAATCTCCTACAGGAGGAAATAAAGATAGAATGAATGACCTTGGCCTTTGAGTTATGAACTTTATGTACCGTCATTACAGACACTAGTACATTGTACTTGGCAAAGATGACTTATGTATATAAAATATCAATTCATTTACTCAGCGGTTTTTAGAGATGCCAGCTAATAAGCTTTAGTCATTTTTTATTTTATTTCAGTTTCTAGAATGAAATTGATGGAACATCTCAGTGGTCAAAGTCTCGTATAAATAGAATACCCGATTATCCTCATAAGTAGTGAAGAAAGGATAATTTTACTTATCACAAGTTTAATTGCGTTGTCGTCAATATCTCGACTTGGCTGCATAGTATATTATTTCGAAATCTAAATGGTCAGTTGTCTTTACCATTTTTTTCCCAGAAAATATTTTAAATATCATTAACAGAAATACAAAATAAATTGTCTGTTGATATCTTCAAGTTCGTATTACATGTGTGTTGTAAATTTTGAATTTACCTCAAAGTAAATTCAATATTTACAACTTGATCATCGGTAGAAAAAGTTTGCAAGTGCATTCAAAAATACATGTACAATTAATGGTTTTCTATTTGGAGCCGTTTCATGCCAGCAATATACATTGTATTCCATTTTGGGAGGTTTTTTTGTGAAATGCCAAATATTGTTTCAGAATGATATTGAAGACGTTTTCGAAAATGATGCATTTTTCTGATTTTCGGTATCAATAAAAAAAAAAAACAGAAACGCTTTATAAAATCAATTTTCGAAATTGCAAAATTTAACTCCAAAATAAACTTGCAGTTGAAACACAAGATCACTCTGAAGTTTAGATATACATGTTCTTACTTATTCGGAACGTCACCTTTGTCATGAGTCTTGCAAAAAATAAGATAATCGAGCATACAAAAAAATTGACTATTCAGCAAAGAGCATGCACTGAGTTTGTTTGAAGCAACAAGACGTGCAAAAAAAAGTCCTATGAAGTATTCTCTTTGAAACTCAGCGTGCATGTCTGGCGCAATTGATTATTGGCCTGCGGTCATATTAGAACATTTTTTCCTCTCTCGGGCAGTGGGGCTCTGTCTCGGGTCGATGGTCCTTCACGTTTTGTCATCTTTATCCCTCTAAATCCACTGAAGTACTAAAACACTCAGGATATCCTCAAAATGAATTTATGAAGCATGTCAATACGAAAGAAAAAATCTGTTATTAGCAACATGGCGCTCATCAGAAATCTCTCAACTTCAAAGGGTTGCAGACCTTCTTCAAATCAGGGCTTGGTGTTGGTTTCTTTGAGAATCCGTTTGCCGTCTGCTTCAGTTATTATGAAATTAAATTCTGAGTGAAATACAATAGTTGGGTTTCTCTCGGCTCAGCCCTCTATGTTGAACTTACGTTATAGCTTTCAATTAGGATGCTAAAAACTAACAAAGCACACTTGCGGACAGGCATTTGCGTAGTGACTGAACTTTATCCAAATGAGATGGAAGGGTTTCTTTTTCATGTATGATTTATTCTGTGGATAATCTTTTGTACATATGACACCTGTGAAGAATTTCATGGACCCAGTTAATTCTTACTTAAGTGGAATTAATTAATGACAAATGTACGATGCATCTCACTAGCAGGAAAATTTGGGATGAATTTCCGTAACGCACTACTTCTTGTTTGTCTTTTGTTTTTGTACGTCGCCGGAAATTCCCGTCCAGACGGAAGTTTAGAAATATTAATGTAAGTTGTCAAGTTAATATGATTCAAATAATAAATTAAACACATTTAGCTCATGGAAAAAAAAATGGATGCGAAATTTTGTATTTTATAGACAACTAACTTCTAGACACTCTTACAATTTATCAAACTAATCAATCATATCTCTCAACTATGTATAATAATTAATAAAAAACATATTTCATGAACATGTATCCCTAAAGAATTTGTACATTGTAAGTATCTATATATACTTATCTAGTCTTGAAATCTTGCAGTTATTTTGAAATTTGTTAATTAAGTCAAAGAATCTAAGAAACTGCACTCATTTATGAACTACAAGCAACAATTAAATATATTAAGAAATCCATTGATGATAAAATACCGGTATATAATGTTCAACAGAGGTCTTTCACCCAATTGTCTCCTGTTCTCGTGTACAATTTGTCTCCAATAAAGATGGTTTATATAATGTTTTGAAAGAATAAATGGTGTATAATTTATAAAACTTCATAACCATAACCTGACTTACATGAAATATTTTATCTATATTCCATTCATACAAGCCGTACACGCCTATCTTCCTCTTAGTAACGTGTAGTTGTTTATTCCAATAATCCTTCCAAATTTTGTACTGATAGTAATTAACGTTCTAACAGATAAATCGCGTCGAATAATCGAAAGTTGTCATACGAACGATCTCTGCAAGGAGGTTCGCTGGCAACCCGCACGTGCAAAAGAATGCCATTGAGGTAGATAAGACCAATTTTAATGGTCACACCTTTCAGACAAATTTTATATATGGATATTTTTAAAATTTCAAAAAAAGTATAATAAATCAATCAAAGAAAGGCTAAGAATTTTTAGTAGAAGGTTGGCTGGTTTCAATGTCTTTTCTTCGAAACTTATTTTTTTCTCTCAAATTTTTCAGTGGCATATTTTTGCGAAAGTCAGATTCGCAGAAATAAATTGAAAATTTAATGCGTTTGTGTATTAAACCTACCAGTGTTTGTTTATTGAAAATAGACGATTATATAGCATATTCTTCGTTACAAAGTGAGACTCATTCCGGTTTTTTTTTTTTCGAGTGTGATGTAAGCGCAGCCTGTTTCTAGCACCCTCTCCTAGACTGTACTCCTGACCTTTAACCCCGAGCTATGATCAGATAAAAAAAGAGGGGGGTAATATAAACGTCTATCAAGACGAACTAAGGAAAAAGATACACCTTTTTATTATTTTTCCCTCTTCATTTGAAAATTATCAGATTTTCGATCGCTTCCAATGACGGACTATAAGAGAAGAAGAGAAAAAATTTAGTAGGAGTGAAAACCAAAGATTGAATATGTGGTGATCGGGAATATGTCGTTGGTGTAAATGGTCATGTGAAAGGAATTTCTGTATCAATTTTACTGGCTTTTGTTATAGCTGTTTATCCTCCAAGCAAAAGTGACCAAAATATTATTGGATTATTTACCCAGCTATTTAAGAATTAAAGCAATATTATTTCTTTAGCCCCTGCTTTGTCAAGTTGAGAAGACGTTGGGTATTAAAGAGATTTGACAGGAGGGGAAAGAGGCTGTCTTGTCAAAAACAAAACTATTTCGTGTTTTTTAATCAAAACTGAAGAAAAAAATCGAAGGAACTTTTCTTTTTTTAATTTTGATCAATTTTCTACCCAGAATAGATCCAATCGGTGTCTGGAAGATTGTTTTTGAAGAAGATTTTGAAAAATCCATTGGAGATGAATTATAAAATTTTTAAGATATCGTGGATGATTTAAAGGACTTGTTCAAGATTAAATGAGATTTTATTAAACTGATCTGTTGACTTAATTTGAACATGACATAAGTAGGTAATTGATACATCGAATGACTCGTACTATCCCTGATGGGTTACCCGCGATGACATCGAAGTTTCTGCTGAATGGATTTCTATTAATTCTAGTCGGATTTCTTATAGTGCCCGTGGAAAACACATGGTGGTGAGTTACTTTATAAAATACTAATTAAGAAGACTTAAACAAATAAATGATTAAGTCACATTAATTCAAATAGTTTGTTTAAATTGACCGGCTGCATATTTCATGAATGATGTTCTTCGTAACTCTAAAATACCAAAATTTTTACTCTGTTTATGAATTAAATTGCTTTCAATTAAGAATAATGTGAATCTTGAATCTGTAAATTGATATGAAGTTCCTAAAATTCTTTTTAATCGTATTCACTTTAAACGCGTATAAATTGATTATTCTTGTACGTTTCAGTATTTTGATGCAATTTATAACAAATATATTTCAAACGTGTGGTATCTGCAGCTGCATGCAATTTTATGTTATTAATCTGCACGCACTGCTTGACCAGGTATCTTAATTCTCGTTTATACGATAGACGACGAGAGTTAATAGAGAACGATTTATCATTCCAGGAAATGCAGTAATATTATGGTAGCAATCGGCATTGATTTATCTCCCTTTAACAAGGACTAGCGAGATTTGCCGAGATAAGGGGTAGAGAGGGCAGGTATTGCTCAGAACCTACTATAACTTTTATTGCTAAATTATGACAAAAGTGTTATAAACATCTCAAAGACAAGATAAGACGAACTCCCTTTCCCCCCGAAATTTAACAGCTATAATCATTAGGGTATTTAATTAGACCCCTAAAAAGCTACAAAAAGAGAGATATTTTTACATTCCAACTGCGATCTTAAAGTTTTTATAACAGCAACAAGATATTCATTTGATATAATACTTCTGGAATTTGTTAGGTAAAAATATATATATATTCTTTTAACTGAATGAATATATATGCACGTGCCATGCTTTGATTTACAACTTTTGCTTCACATTCTAACTCGTCTACATGGATTACTAGGGACAAATTATAAGAAACGCCTCAGATTTATCAAATAATTAATGATTTTAAAAATAACTAGCAAACAGACCATGAATTTTAAACGTATGTCTTACCCTATGTCTAAGATGAACGCAGTATCGTTAATGTAGATATGAAATATTGAAATACATGGGGAGACGTAATTTTTTTCACTAAGAAAATTAACTTAAATTTTTGTTGAATATCACAGAAATAGATTTACATTTATCTATATTACACATACGTAAGCCCTTTACTTCTTTTGAGAATTTAAAAAAAAAAATATCTGTCAGGTACATATGGCGTTGATTTCTGGACAACAGAAGAAACAGTTGCAAATGCGGGGGGGGGGGGGGGGGGGGGGGTTATCTTGTTTCAATTTTCGACAAATGATTATTGCTTTGGATGTGTAATTATTATTTTAATTTGATGGACCTGATTTATATCTATTAATCTATTAATTTGATTGCATTAAACACGGTATTCTTTTTTATTAACATATATCAAATATCACAAAACCTTGACATTCTTTGACACGTATATCGCTAAATTAACAGTATAATTAAGTTCAGTATTATTTAATTTTCTAGTACATAGCCAAAGCAAATCTTATTGTTCCTTCCAAACCATGCTGAGTTTTAGATAATAAGCAGCTTAAAGTGAAATTTCACCTGAATAAAACACCTTACCCGTAACAGATATTACTGTGTTATTTGATTACAGTACATTCTTTAGGGGGTCCAATATAACCGTACTCTACTGTAATATTCAATGACAACGTACGTCATTCAGAATATACCTCAATGTTGTATTAGAAAAAAAAAACAGAATTTGTTTTCCTTCATTCAAGTATATCCAAGATGTACAAATAATTAATGAGCAGAATGTTTTTTTTTCGTCCGAAATTGACTCAGTTTTAATTAATACATAAACTGAAACATATGTACCATTTTCCATTGAATATCGATTCATAAGCCATAAATATAACAGAATGAAGAGCACAAGGAAAATACTTGAAATGTTATAAGATTAGCCGTTAACAGTTCAATTATGCTCAAGTTCCCGACTTTAATCTTTTTAAAGCCGGTATAATTCAACATACGTAATAAATATAGATTTGATGATTGCATACGCGGCAAGATATCGCCATTTTTACGTCCTTTCCCCGTTAGTTTTGGTTGGGTAATTATAGACAGAGAGTCACAGGTGTTAGTTTATAAAAGAATTTAATGGTGAAGAGATGCAGTGAAGGTAGTCTGAAACTCGAACCTCTGACACAGCTACAGTTTCGAGCTCTCTGCACTCTTGTGCCAAATGCTTGATTGGACCAATGACGTCATTAGTCACAAAGACCTAACGTTGTCGATAATATCATGCTCTATAAATTCTAACAAACTATCGAATTACAAATATATGTATATTAGGGATGTCAACGAGTACCCGGTTAACCGGGTACTCGATCGAACGTCCCAGTATCGAATACTAAAATCGGTACTCGGTTACTCGGATGTATATTTTGAAATATTTCTAAGCTTACTTATTAATGCATTTTTAAAACGTAAAATGTTCATTGCACTTGTACATACAGTAATTAGGGTTTCCTATGCCTCTGAATGATCGTTATCGCCTGTGGCAGTGTTTATACAGTAATTATCGTGACCAAACACCTGATGTACCTACCCGGGCTTTTCTCACCTTCGACTGTCTTCTTCCCTTATATTTAGTTTGCTTTAATTATTTGTTTTCATTGAACATCGTTTAAGGTCCATTATATTTAAACAAATTAAATAATTTTGTCAGTTCTCTAAGAAGCCGTATATTCTCGGGAAAGAGACAGACGATATTGCACGCGCGATTGTTGATTTGGATGCATTTGATTACATGGTAATTAATGCAAATGGTTGAAGGCTAATGCTTTAAAAATCTTATGTCCATCGTTTCTCCAAACTACAACACACCGTATCGTAATTCTATGAAATCTTGGATCAAAAAGTGTACGAAGATCGTATAAATCCGCTCTGTTATAGGATTTGATCAAGTTTATTCCGTACTACATGTAGCTCAGACAACTTATCACTTGGACATCAAACGCACCAAAGACTTACACTACAATTACGGAACAGATTATTTTTTAAACAAAAACACTGTGAATCATTTCTGATTTTATTTCTCGTATTTATCAGATAAATAAATTGAACTTAAAAAAATGTTAGATTAAATTTCGTCGGACAAATTGGTCATAATTGTTACAACGCATTTGCAGGTAACCTCCCATCGGTTTTATTTCTACAAGAGTTTACAATGTTTTACAGTTATCAATTAACTTGTTCATATCTATTTACACTTTTACCGAGTACCCGGGTACTCGATCGGAAAAACGTCCGAGTAACCGAGTATCAAAAATTGACCGATTTGACATCCCTAATATATATATTTTTTTGATATCCATCGCATGCTTTCTTTAGCGACATATCGTATACATAGTTCAAAGACATGCATTATGGAAAATGCAGAAAATTACAAAATAGTCGAATACACACTGACAAAAGAATTAGAAATACAATGATGTCAGCTAAATATATTACAAATATGCTCTTCTGCTACGTTTATAACAATTGCAATATTACTAGTATCAGTTTGAAACACTATTATAGTTACAAATTCTTAGAACTAAAGGAGATGTTTAGGTATAAGGCCTACTTCATGGCAAAGGCATGGAATTATGAAATACAAAAGTTACAGTATTTGAAGGTTTTCGAAATACAGAGCACGGTGCTTCATGCTGTCGTTATCGATTTCCTCATGGCCCTATAAAATTAATACTTAAAAATAAAAATAATCCACGTTTTACCATTGATAATTACACGCGCAGTACCCGATCATTTCCCACAGCGAGGCTGAGTCTCGTGAATGGTAACGAGATTCTTTTTGGAGACCACGTGACCATTTGTAGAAATTCGCATGCTGAGTTTACGCACAAAACGAATTATCATCAGTGCACGAGTCTTTTGTGGACTGTAAATTAATAATTAATGAGCAAATTAACATGTAATATATTTGCCACGTTGCACATTTATTAAAGATGAGTCTGGATTTTCTTTTCTTTTCTTTCTTTTTTTTTTTTTTTTGGATTAGCAGTCGAAGACAAACATGTTTATATCGTCTAGAAGGGTTTGTTTTATTACGATACGCGGATGCGTTCAATTTTAATTTGTTAGTAAACAAAACAGAAATAATTTCTTGAGAAGTTAGTTACATCATGAGATGAAACATCCAGCCTCTTTTTCAAGAAAATGACTGGTGGATGCTTTTCAAAATGTCGGTGTTAATGAAATGTTCGTGAATATATTGTATAAGCTGTTACAGAATATAACTGACGGTTTAACTAAACCCATTAAAATCTTAACAGAGGAATCCACTTTGTCAGTCTTTGTCGAGAGCAAAATTAGACTCCCTTAAAATGTTAAATTAATACATGGTTACATTATTATGAGTTTTTCTTCTATTTTCGTCGGCAGTTAAAGCAAAAACAGAGAACTAAGAAGGTCCTAAAATGTCTATACCAGACATCCGTAAATTTCAATGTACTTTTAAAAAAAGAAAATAGTATTACCAAGGCTCTACTTACTATAAAATTTAGAGCAACGTTCATGATGAATTCTCTTACAAAATGTTATAATGTTTCCGGATTATCGGTAATCATATACTAGTATTTTAACTGTCTATAATAAAATACCTTTGAAACAAACGTCCAAAGGACATAAATCGTACTTAGTTTATTTGTTCATAGTCTGGCATATTTACAAAGGGCAAAGTAGAACACTTCTGTGCTTTACATAATAAAAGAATAGGTACCTGCTGAAAATCAACATATATAATTAAATATATCTAAAATAAATTGAGCTCGAATTCAAGGCTTACTTGAGTAGTGGATCAAGACTGAAATGTGCAAAAAGAAATACATGAGATAATTCTCCTGAAAATCTTCAAAATAAGGAGTCTGGTCATCGTATACCATGTGTTACAATAACTATATATCGTCAAAGAAGGAAAAGATGGATGCTGACCCCCCTGCCCTCCCATCCTTCATTTTCTAATTGCATCTGAACATCCTAAATCTAAGTGTTTTTGTTATAGGTTTATAAGTCAGCTGCCTCTTCATGCCGTAGGGGCGGGTGTACTCTGTGATAATATCCCGGGCCTGGCCGGTCGACAGCGCCGTCTCTGCAGGATGCACCCGGGGGTGATGGTCAGCCTGGGCGAGGGGGCCAAAATGGGGATCAAGGAGTGCCAGAGTCAGTTCCGGTTTCATCGATGGAATTGCAGTACCCTCGACAGAGATGCCTCTGTTTTTGGAAAAGTTATGCTAAAAGGTAAAGTCTTAGGACATATACAATTAATAATACGAAAAGGTAAAGTCTTCGGACGTAATGATATGCTGAAAGGTAAAGTCTCGTGACATACAATAATGCTGAAAGGTAAAGTCTCGTGACATACAATAATGCTGAAAGGTTTAGACTCGGGACATACAATTACATTATATTATACGGAAAAGTAAAGGACGTAATATTGCTGTTATGTAAAGTCTCTGGACATACATTTTATAATGCTGAAAGGTAAAGTCTCGTGACATGCATTAATGCTGAACTGTAAAGTCTCGTGACATACAATAATGCTGAACTGTAAAGTCTCGTGACATACAATAATGTTGAATTGTAAATTCTCGTTACATACAATAATGTTGAAAGATATAGTCTCGTGACATACAATAATGCTGAAAGGTAGTGTCTCGTGACATACAATAATGCTGAAAGATAAAGTCTCGTGACATCAATAATGCTGAAAGGTAAATTCTCCTGACATACAATAATGCTGAAAGGAAAAGTCTCCTGACATACAATAATGCTGAAAGGTAAAATCTCGTGACATATAGGCCTAATAATGATAAAGGGTAAATTCATTGTAAATATACAAAAATGCTGAAAAAGACTCACAACCTTATACATGTATAGTGCTGATAGACATATGTCAAGACAACGTGCATATGGTATTAAATTTTCGATCAATTAATTTGTCATGAAACTGTACATTCTCATATTTATAACTTTGAAACTATAGAAATGGATATGGATTAATGAAAACTGTAAGTCATTTCTTAGCGGAGAGAACATTTTGGGGCATATGGTTATACACACAGTTATATGTCATTTTCAAGCGATAAGCGTAAAGACTTGGTGCATTCGATGTTATATTCTTTCCACCAAAATACATAACCAATTATTAAAAGGCGCGATTTCAAGAGCTCAAAAATCAGGACGAAAATCATCAAGCGCTAGATCTGAGAATTTTGATGAGCTGAAACTGTTTTTATACATGTTAACTTTGTTAGAAAACGATAAAAGCCGAGGGGATGTTGTCATGGGCTTGGAGTGATACCCATAGACCTCACAGAAAGATGAACTTTTTTCAAGAAGTCTATCTTTTTTCTCAATCCATACGACAGAGAGCAGCTCCTGAATTGAAATGACCACCGCATGGGGGCGCAGTTATTCATCGTCCGAAAATCTTGCACCCTTCAAATAATCTAATAAGAATCGTTGAGAGAAAATACATGCGAAAGTTAATGTAAAATCATGCTATTTTTCCGCCTGCGTATGTCATTTATAAATATCAAAACTGGGTTTGGGATTATTTTTTGCGCGGATTTATTTTCTAGAGATAATTGCTATCAGTGGCATTTAGGAGGTAATTAAATAGCTATACAGATTATATGATTTTGTTTTTAGATGCTTCCGCGCGTGTCTTGGATAGCTTTGTGTAATCGTTTTCTGCTAGTTAAAAAATCAGATTAATTGTATAAGTAGATAGTTTCATAATCATAGCATTACAAATACGAATGATCCGACATAAAAAAGGCCATTAAATAGCTACCGTTTGATTATTAATTAAAAATATAATAAAACCGATATTTTAGACTGCATCATGCAAATAGATCTCAAAAAGGCTGCCAAACAACCACATTCTTGCCTTTAAATAAATCCCCTATTACATTCTCATCAAGTGAACTGTTGAATTTCACCATTTAATTTTGCAATTTTTTAATATTCAACGAACAGATGGGATTGTGTAATTGCTGAATTCAGATGAGTGAGGACTTTTAAAATCAAAACTACGCCCGCAATTTCTTACAATTTTTATGATAAAACAGATTGGTATTGAAAATATCTCAAGTTTTTCCCCCACAAGTTTCACGAAAGAAGGTTTCCGGAATGGTAGAATTGCTAATTGCTTTGTAAGAATGTCCACAAATCCAAAGTTATTTCAAAACCTTGATGTACCGTGATTTTGAGTAGGATGGTCAGGCATTTGTGGGAGGTTGTTTAATTAAGGAAATTGTCCAATTTTCTGTAAGAAACACCAAACCTGCAACGGCAATTCCCACTAAATCACATACCTACTAATAGCCAGACCAAACAGCTATCGCCTAGAGAAAAAGATTGGACAAAATTGACCATGTTTGTGCAAAACATTTAAAGCATTACAAAAGAAGAGAACAAAAAAAATTCTCAGTTTTAACGGAACTGAAATCTTTATCCGCACTGCAATTTTTCATTCATCCTTGGTCTGACCCCTATACGGTGTTTTGATTTCATTTAAGTTAAAACCAACAAACTACGAGGAGCTCTCAAGCCGAGTGAAAAGCTTGTATTTTCTGCCTATTATCTTGATAATTGTGGGATAAATGGCTTAAAATTAACGTTCATGTGTAATACGATCATAGACTAATAACCAAACATTTTGACCGTTCAAGAGGAAAAATGTTTGTGTATCCTTTGACCGTGAAAAAAGATTTTCTTATTAAACGAGTCCCGGGTCGCTGGTACGGGCTATGTAAGGTGTAATGTTTACTTGTTGACTTTTTTATTATTCCTTTTTGTTATTTTTTGAGGTACAACTGTTTTATTTAATTTCCCTCCCCTATGGCGGTCTGTTTTTATAAATTCCAAGTTGTTACAATCATTTAGATAAGACATTTCAAGTTGTTTGAATCCAGATTTTTTTTTAAAAGTTAATATTCCACATGTCCCTCATCATAAATATACCAGTGTCATGTATTTTTACTCATGAAGTTAAAAAAATTAATTTCCCCCCTAAACCCATAATGTTTTGAATTGATATTCTAAAATGAAAATTTTAATTATCATCGGCATTCATATTTCAGTTATAATTTTTTTTTAAAAATGATTCGCACAAGATGTAAAATATTTTTTTTTATTTGATTAACATTAACATAATTAGGACAATATTCAGTTTAAGTTAAAAATATAATATCACAAATGTGCAACTAAAAAATTAAAAAGAAATACGTCCCTGATCACTTAAGATTTTGTGAGTAAAAGATCTCTCTGTTTCAGTAGGAAGTCGAGAGTCTGCTTTCGTATACGCCATTTCCTCGGCGGGAGTTGCCCACGCCATTACCCGGGCCTGCAGCAAAGGTAACCTGCTCCAGTGTGGATGTGATCCTAGCAAGGTCGGCAAGAGTCGAGATAAGCTTGGCTGGTTTGAGTGGGGCGGATGCAGCGACAATGTTCGGTGGGCTAGCCATTTCTCTAGAATGTTTATTGACGCCAGAGAGCGAAGGGTGCGTGACGCACGCGCACTGATGAATCTCCATAACAACCGTGCCGGAAGACGAGTGAGTACCATGTATATTGCAATTTCAAGATGTATATAAGTAAAAGACAACTTTCGTTAATCATTTTTTTTCAATATATTTATTATTTGAGATGAACACACATTTGTGGAAATACAAGTGAAAAATGTCCGCCATTTTTGTTCCTATCTCTCGCTATATCTGCAGCGTATATAAGATTTCAATTATACGTGTGAGCGTAATTGTCTTTCGAATTATAATACGTGTTAATGCAGGAAAGTCAACAATTACAGTTGTACAGGTCAGTGTAGTACACAAACAAACACGTAACTGCAATAAAATGTAAACAAAGGTAGTGCAAGATAACTAGCACGAACACGGTCGCCATTCCACGCCGATACCCGTGACAAAAAACAGTCAGGTGTAATGAATCATAGTTTTGTCACATAATGATATCGAAAATGCCGTTTGCCTATTTACGAGTCGTGTTCAGCTTTAAGCGTATTTCCTGTAATTATTATTTATTTCTTTTTAAGGTAACACAATACTTAATTTATATGTGTGTGCCAAATAACATTTTATTTATTTTACACAGGCTGTCAAAAAATTTATGAAACTAGCCTGCAAGTGTCACGGTGTGAGTGGGGCATGCACCATTAGGACGTGCTGGCAAGCAATGCAGCCCTTTCGCCGAGTTGGCGAGTATCTAAAGCGGAAGTATAATGGGGCTACTCACGTTATGATAGACCAAGGTGGTTCCGGAATAGTTGTTGCAAACCATCACTACAAAAAACCCACGAGGAAGGATTTAGTGTATCTAGAGGCATCCCCGGACTACTGTGTCCGAGATCTTTCCATTGGTAATTTTTTTAATCAAAAATATTATATGCAAGAACCCCTTTCATTATGTAGAAAATGGAATAGAATCATTTCAGTGTGAATTCCTTTAAGTAATACAAGTGCCGTATTAATTCCTAGACATTATTTGAAAGAAAAATGCTCTCATCATTTTTTTTCTGTTAAAAGCTCATACTCATGACAAAGAAAACATACTTACAAGTTATGAAATCTATTTTTCTTTTTAAGGATCATTGGGCACCGCCGGGCGCCAGTGTAACAAAGCGTCCTTAGGAACTGATGGGTGTGACATCATGTGTTGTGGGCGGGGCTATGATACAGAAACTGTGACGCAATTTCAGAAGTGTCACTGCAAATTCCACTGGTGTTGTCATGTGAAATGTAAACTTTGTTCTAAGCGCGTGGACATACATACTTGCAAAGGTCCAAGTCTGCATGATAATATTTCACACCGGAAGTCCTTACTTGGATAGGCACTTCCGGTCTTGTACTGACTTCCATATTTGGAACTGCAATTTTCAAGAGTGCTACTGAAATGAGTACATGTAACCACGTGGTTTTGCTGACTTATGAAACATTGGTTATTTTTTACGTGTTATACAGTATTTATTGAAATATTTATATTGGCATTGTTTATATCATATTTATTTGTTGACTGTCATTTTTCTATTTGTTAAGTATGTTTTAAATCTAGATCTTATACATTATGTACTTTTCATATGTACGTTATTTCCATTAAAAAGAATTTCATCCATTCATAAGACCAAATCTTTTTTTTTTAAATTCAAGTTCATATCTTCAAGATTTAAAAAAAAAAAAAACGTATTCTACTTGTCAATATTGCAGAAAAAAATTACAGCCTCTTTACATGGGTTATGTATTATTTCTGCAACAGCTGTAAAATTAAGTTCCGTTTTGACAATCAAAGAATAAATTTTATTATTTATGTATGTATAAATAATCTCATGAAGTAGGATGAAAAATGTTATTAAAATTGTTCAGCTATTTTTCCATTTGTCCGCTCAAGATAAGGAGTGACCGTTCAACAGGGATACTCACTCTTCCATGGCACCTGATCCCAACTCTAATACTGCTCTGCTCCAAACTGGTAGTCGCCCGCGTGGCGCAGTGGTTAGAGCGTCTGCTCTAGAGTTGCGAAGTAAGGAGTCAATCCTTACGTCGCGTGTTCGAATCCCACTTCGGGACGTGGAGACCGGTCCTTCGGATGAGACCGTATAAACCGAGGCCCCGTGTCGCAGTAGGTGCTGGCACGAAAAAGATCCCTCACTGCTCAAAGGCCCAGAGTGCCGAGTATAGGACAAAATTTTTAGCCCTCCATCGGCAAGTGGTGGCGTCTCCATATGAGTGAAAAATTCTCGAGAGGGACGTTAAACAACATACAATCAATCAATCAATCCAAACTGGTAGTTTCAAATGGATTTTCGAGCTTGATTGCTGTTCGTATCTCCGTATTCAATATAGGTCATTATATTTTTTCATTGCTAAAAGGGTCACTGAGAACTAGCTTGCTTAGCAACGACTACGGTTTTCATAAAAAGAAAGAAAAAAAGTATATTTTGTGGACATACTTTATAACATATAATCTCAAAATGCAGTAAGATTAATATTTTTAACATTTTTAGACTATAGAATATAACATTTACTTTTTTACCAATTTTATATTGAAACGTTGAAAGTGAAGACACATAAATGTATAATTTCATTTTTCAAAGTATTCGGAGTACACGCACCCATTGTGTACCAGTAACAATTTTACAGAATCATAGAAAACGTCAAAGAAACACAATTTTCCAGTTTTTTGTTAAAAACATAAATCATGAAGCAGATAACAAGTGAACATGTAATTTATCTATGATACATGTAAATAGAAAACAAAATACTGACCAACAATTTAAAGCAAACTCAAGAAGGTTAAAATTGATTTGGTCTTTCCTGAGACAAATTTTAACACATAAACTCTCTCTCTCTCTTGGCATATTTAAACTCTCCCTTTCTCTCTCTCAGCACAATTCAACAGATAAATTCATTACACGTATGAAGTTTATCTTAAAAAAAAAATTATACTCTCTTAATTATAATTACATTCCCCTTATATACATTTTGGCACAAAAATACTCATATATACTAAATAAGTATGGTCTTGACAATTAATCAAAATATGGTCACAACCTTTTTTATTTTTTAAAAAAATCGAATCACTTTGGTGATAATGACCGATCGACACGTTGAACCAAATGTTTGCCAAAATAAAGCATCACTCCCACTGGAACACATAGACCGACGACTAGAATAACACGTTTGTAATTTGTACGTGACCTCGGCTCTACCGGTGGGGTCACAAGGTCAGGAGGGTCAACATTCCGTTTCTGAAAAACCTGAAAACGAAAGAAATATATCAGAAAAAAAATAAATGATTGAAAAATACGAGTGAAAAATTCCTGATAGGGACGCTAAACTTCATTGTGAACGAATTATTCAATATCAAATTACTGTAATTTAAAACAAAAACCGCGTAGTCACAATCGATGTTTGAATTGCAAAATGACCAAAATGCAATCTGACTAAAGCCAGACCTCTATTTACGCTATTGCATATATCTATGCGATAGCGTAAATAGAGGTCTGGCTTTAGTCAGATTGACCAAAATGCATGTTACGAATATGGATTTAAAATCAATATGTAACAAAAGCAAAAATAAATGTGTTCTTGATCACCGTTATTATGGACCTACGTTCTCTGGTAAATGCAAGCTGGCAATTGTCAGGGTTAGTTTGGAACACAAGAGTAGTAAGAAGAAACATGTGAACCAATTGCTTGCTTCGTTAACATAAATCCTTCCTCGTTTATGATATAGCATCGTATTCATGAACCGTGACATGCAAAGGATGTGCTTATTACGTAATCAAAATTGTCACGCTTACTGACTTCCGCTTTCAAGAAGTGCGTTGTTTGAAATGATACTCTGTTTCGTTCTTTGAAGTCTACAAAAGCCACCTGTATAACACGGGGGCTACGAGTGCAAACTTACACACACTAAATACTAAGGCTTAGGATAATATATTAATAACTTTCTATCACTGGCCAACTTGCATGTTGCGGACTTGAATGCAAACCAGCTATCATCGATGTTTAGAGGAATGCCATTGCTTTTGCAAAAAATGTTTTTTAAAAGAAACTTGACATGACATTAATCTATTGTTAAAAATCCGTAAAAATATATCAATAGCACAGACGCACATATAATGATATTTTCTGTATATATATGGTATATTGTTGAAAATGGAATGATGCTTTAATTTCAAATTAATGAAATTATTTAGCTTTTCTTTCACAAATGTTGCATCAAAGGGTACACGTGAAGCTCCTTTCCAAATGATAACTTTCTGCTGCTGAATAAACTCCCCGTAAACCAATCACCTCTCAGAATAAGGTGACATTTATTACATCGGAATTGTTTTAAGTCTGGAGAAGATTTTCACCTTCACCTTTCACCGAATTTAATCAGTTTCTAAAGGGTGAATGAACGGAACAGGTTTAATATCTATCAGTGGAAGACGATCGGTATGTTATAAACAAAACATCAGAGTAATTACATAAAAAGATTAAAGAAGATCAAACCTCTAGACCATCGGTATGTGTTACAAACCGTAAACGAAACATCGCAATGCTTACATCAGAAAATTACGATAGATAATCGTAGATGATAAGTATGCGTTATAGACCCAGACAGAAGGTTAATGTACAAGACCAGCATGTGTTATAGACCCAAACAGAGGGTCAATGTAGATGATTGGTCTGTGTTATAGAACCAAACAGAAAGTTAATGTAGAGAATGGGTATGTGTTATAGACCCAAACAGAAGGTTAATGTAGATGATAGGTATGTGTTATAAACCCAAACAGAATCTCAATGTAGATGATAGGTATGTGTTATAGACCCAAACAGAATGTCAATGCAGATGATTGGTATCTGTTATAGACCCAAATAGAAGGTTAATGTAGATGATGGGTATGTGTTATAAACCCAAACAAAAGGTCAATGTAGATGATGGGTATGTGTTATAGACCCAAACAGAAGATCAATGTAGATGATTGGCATGTGTTATAGACCCAAACAGATGGTCAATGTACATGATCAGTATGTGTTATAGATCCAAACAGAATGTCAATGTAGATGATAGGTATGTGTTACAGACCCAAACAAAAGGTCAATGTAGATGATGGGTATGTGTTAAAAACCCAAACAAAAGGTCAATGTAGATGATTGGTATGTGTTATAGACCCAAACAGAAGGTCAATGTAGATGATGGGTATGTGTTATAGAACCAAACAGAAGGTCATTGTAGATGATTGGTATGTATTATAGACCCAAACAAAAGGTCAATGTAGATGATTGGTATGTGTTATAGACCCAAACAAAAGGTCAATGTAGATGATTGGTATGTGTTATAGACCCAAACAGAAGGTCAATGTAGATGATTGGTACGTGTTATAGACCCAAACAGATGGTCAATGTAGATGATCGGATTGTGTTATAGATCTAAACACATGGTCAATGTACATGACCAGTATGTGTAATAGACCCAAACAGAAAGTCAATGTAGAGAATGGGTATGTGTTATAGACCCAAACAGAAGGTTAATGTAGATGATGGGAATGTGTTATAGACCCAAATAGAAAGCCAATGTAGATGATTCGTATGTGTTATAGACCCAAACAGAAGAACAATGTAGATGATTGGTATGTGTTATAGACCCAAACAGAAAGTCAATGTAGATGATTGGTATGTGTTATAGAACCAAACAGAAAGTTAATGTAGAGAATGGGTATGTGTTATAGACCCAAACAGAAGGTTAATGTAGATGATGGGTATGTGTTATAGACCCAAATAGAAGGTTAATGTAGATGATGGGTATGTGTTATAACAGAAGGTCAATGTAGATGATGGGTATGTGTTATAGACCCAAACAGAAGATCAATGTAGATTGGCATGTGTTATAGACCCAAACAGATGGTCAATGTACATGATCAGTATGTGTTATAGATCCAAACAGAATGTCAATGTAGATGATAGGTATGTGTTACAGTAGATGATGGGTATGTGTTAAAAACCCAAACAAAAGGTCAATGTAGATGATTGGTATGTGTTATAGACCCAAACAGAAGGTCAATGTAGATGATTGGTATGTGTTATAGACAGAATGTCAATGTAGATGATTGGTATGTGTTATAGACCCAAACAGAAGGTCAATGTAGACGATTGGTGTTATGTGTTATGTAGATATTGGTATAGACCCAAACAGAAAGTCAATGTCAATGTAATGTATGATTGGTATGTGTTATAGACCCAAACAGAACAATGTAAAGGTAATGTAGAGATGGGTATGTGTTATAGACCCAAACAGAAGGTTAATGTAGATGATATGTGTTATAGACCCAAACAGAAAGCCAATGTAGATGATTGGTAATGTAGATGATTGTAGATGATTGGTACGTGTTATAGACCCATGTTGTGACATAAATATTTTTTTAAAGTGGCAATATATAACCACAAAACTCTACGACCAAATTGTGTTATGTAGGTCAATGTACATGATTGGTAATAGACCCAAACAGAAAGTGTGTTATAGATAGACCCAAACAGAAGGTTAATGTAGATCAAATAGAAAGCCAATGTAGATGATTGTATGTGTTATAGACCCAAACAGAAGAACAATGTAGATGATTGGTATGTGTTATAAACCCAAACAGATGGACAATGTAGATGATTGGTATGTGTAATAAACCCATACAGAATGTCAATGTAGATGATTGGTATGTGTTATAGACAGAATGTCAATGTAGATGATTGGTATGTGTTATAGACCCAAACAGAAGGTCAATGTAGACGATTGATGTAGATGATTGGTATGTTATAGACCCAAAGAGATTGTATGTGTTATAGACCCAAACAGAAAGTCAATGTAGATGATTGGATTGTGTTATAGAACCAAACAAAAGGTCAATGTAGACGATTGGTATGTGCATGTACATGTTATAGACAGAATGTCAATGTAGATGATTGGTCTGTGTTATAGAACCAAACAGAAGGTCATTGTAGATTATTGGTATGTATAATAGATCCAAACAGAAAGTCAATGTAGATGATTGGTATGTGTTATAGACCCAAACAGAGGGTCAATGTAGATGATTGGTATGTATAATAGATCCAAACAGAAAGTCAATGTAGATGATTGGTATGTGTTATAGACCCAAACAGAAGGTCAATATAGATGATTGGTATGTGTTATAGACTCAAGCAGAAAGTTAATATAGAACCAAACAGAAGGTCAATGTAGATGATTGGTATGTGTTATAGACCCAAAAAGAAGGTCAATATATATGATTGGTATGTGTTATAGATCCAAGAAGGAGGCCAATGTAGATGATTGGTATGTGTTATAGACCCAAACAGATCAATGTATGATTGGTATGTGTTATAGACCCAAAATGTAGATGATTGGTAGTGTTATAGAATGTCAATGTACAGCGTCGTGCCAAAGTATTCGCGGAAAAATGGCGGACGTGATTTGAGAGTTATCGCGCTTGCAACATAAAAGGTCAATATAGATGATTGGTATGTGTTATACACCCAAGAAGGAGGCCAATGTAGATGATTGGTATGTGTTATAGACCCAAACAAAAGGTCAATGTAGATGACTGGTATGTGTTATAGACCAAAACAGAAGGTCAATGTAGATGATTGGTATGTGTTATAGACCAAAATAAAAGGTCAATATAGATTATGGGTATGTGTTATAGACCCAAACAGAATGTCAATGTAGATGATTGGTATGTGTTATAGACCCAAACAGAAGGTCAATGTAGATGATTGGTATGTGTTATAGACCCAAACAAAAGGTCAATATAGATTATGGGTAGGTGTTATAGACCCAAACAGAATGTCAATGTAGATGATTGGTATGTGTTATAGACCCAAACAGAAGGTCAATATAGATGATTGGTATGTGTTATAGACTCAAGCAGAAAGTTAATATAGAACCAAACAGAAGGTCAAAGTAAATGATTGGTATGTGTTATAGACCCAAAAAGAAGGTCAATATATATATGATTGGTATGTGTTATAGACCCAAGAAGGAGGCCAATGTAGATGATTGGTATGTGTTACAGACCCAAACAGAAGGTCAATGTAGATGATTGGTATGTGTTATAGACCCAAACAGAAGGTCAATGTAGATGATTGGTATGTGTAATAGACCCAAACAGAATGTCAATGTAGATGATTGGTATGTGTTATAGACCCAAACAGAAGGTCAATGTAGATGATTGGATTGTGTTATAGAACCAAACAAAAGGTCAATGTAGATGATTGGTAT